GACACCGTCTTGCTGCTCTCGTCGTCACCGGGCGCGGAGGAGGCGATGGAGTACAAGCGAATCTTTGCTGGGGTCTCGCCCTTCTTGTCCGGGCCCGGCGCAATCACCCCAATGGATTGGCCTTCGATGTAGGGCACCTTGCCGCCGTGGTCCATGATCACATGGCACGTCTCCCAGTTCACCAGAGGCGTCTTGCTGGTGATGGTCTCCTTGGACACGCAGCTGCCCTCGTATGGTGCCTTGGGGCTGAAGAGGTTCCAGGGGATCTCCTCGCGAATCTCGACACCGAGATCGATGCACAAACTTCCAGCCGGATGCAGTCGTAGGAAGCATACGATGGACACTATCCACTGAACTATACGGCACCGCTCAAATCGGTAAGTCGTGACACCTACCCGTGTCCTTGCCCTCGACCACGCGGACACCCTTCTTCTTCACCTGGGCTCAAGGTGACATGATGCCCTCACGTTGCTGTAGACTCTTGTCCTCCTCCTGCCGGGATGCAGCAGTTGCGCGGCGGCGCAGCAAAGCTCCTCGCCCAAGGACTGCAGTGGCAACGGCCCCGGCGCCAACCGCCAACGTCCTTTGGAAGATCACACTTCGCAACGACGAGCCCGCATGGCCGGGTTGACATACACATCCCAGGTATGCCCGCAATTCCCGTCCTGCTCGCGCCACCAAAGGATCCCGATCCTGGAACGGCGGTTGCACCCCTGAGCGAAGATGTGCTTGGAGCGCTCTGCACCTAGCACGCTGGCGTGAAATCACGGGCGCACAAAACGGCCACCACAAAATCTCATCAAAAGCGCCTGCAAGGGCTTGGAGGCCACAAAGGCCTCGCTGCCTAGTCCGACCACAGCAGCGGCACCGAGGGCAGCCATAATGGGGGCGTCCTTGGATTTCAACATGTGGGCTGTCGTCGCCCTACTTCAGAAGCTTATGCTGCTAAAGCTGCCCGACTGATTGCCATGGCGGTTGAAGGGGAGGTGGACGGCACACGAAAGCTAAGCTGTGCTTCCTAGTCGAGACCAGCGGCCGAAAGCACGATCCAGCTTCAAAGGAAGTCTCACATCCATGAGCTCGTGGAGCTGGACTGGACTAGCACGCCACATCTTCTTTCTAGGCGTGTCGAGCCAGGTCTGAGTCTTGTCAGCGACAATCAAGCTTCATACGAAGCTCGAGAAGTCGTACTGACGGGGAAGCGGCACAAGCAACGGCACAACTGGAGATAAGATCTCTTCACTGTTGGCACCATGTCTCCGATGCCGCTTGAGGCCATACTACAAGTACACGTATGCCGTATGCCTATACCATCTCCAGCNNCGTCGTAAATTGCAGTGTAGTGTGGTATGAGTAGCATGTTTCGCTCCGCACACCGCACTGCAGGGAAAATCATAATCACAAACGGCATCAGCCACGCCTAAGGCGCACCTAGCTGTGTCTAAGTCTCAACCGCGCCAGCCCAGTTGTCCGAACAACTCCAAAGCTCGCAAAGCCCCACTGCAGTTGCTGCAGAGCCCCGCAAAGCTCAGTAAACCTCCACGTGGTAGCCTGGGTCGTGCAGATTCAGCACGCAGCCGAGGCCAACAACATCTTCTGCTTTAGAAACGAAAGCGACGAAGCTTAAGCAGCTAGGCGGCGCTTCTCCTTCTTCATCTTCTTCAAGAACTCGGTGTAGACCATGCCCTCTGCCTCCACCTTCTCCTGCGGCCCACGCGCATACGGAAGCCGTGCCGTGTCAATGGCAGCAGACGAG